GGCACCGCTGCCCAGCCGCCGCCTCGCCTCCGTCTCCGTCTCCATCTCCGGGACGCCCTTCCAGGCCTCTGGCCCAGGGCGGCCGCCCCTCTGGCCTCTCCGCCGCCGCCAGGTGCAGTCGGGGCCGCTTGTGTAGCGGCTGTTTTCTCTGCAGCAGCCCGGGAGCCCGAGTGCCCAGACCCTAGCCTGCCCCCAGCTCTTGCTCACTCGTTGGGGATGAGGGCTGCAGCATGCAGAGCAGGAGGGGCATCACGCCCTCGGGCTCAGGCCCAGGCAGTGCCAGCACATAGGCAAAGCAGGGCTGGTCTGGGCCATGGACAGCCACCTTCTGCCGCCACCTGCCCCAGGACAAGTGGCACTAATAAGCCAGCCTGGTTTCCTGCCCGCCCCCCACACAGGCAGTCCAGGCCTTTCCCACCAGCCTCCACCTCCCTCTCCTGAAGTCCACCTTGACTAAGAGTGTGACGTGTCCACTGCAGCCTCCCTAGATTGACAGGATCCCCCCCAGCTTCTCTGGGCAGGGGAGGGCCAGGCCCCCACTGAAGACCCAACCAACCCCAGCCTGCCACAGTCACTCCCCACCTGGGCCTGTCTTGGCATGAGTCAGCCTGTCCCTCCCTGGCCCTTCTCACAAAGCTACCAAAAATTTTAATTTTGAAAATGGCAAGATGAGATCATTCTCTGCACCCTGGACTGAAGCCTCCTGCCCGCCCGACCCAACATGCCATGGGGTAGCTTTGCAGTCAGGCTGCCTGGGCTAGGTCTCAACACAGCCATCAGCCCTCACAGTGCCCCCTACAGGGTGGTGAGCAGCCCAGCAGCCCCACTGTCCACTCCCGGGCTTGTATCCTTGTCTGCTGTCCTTGTCCTAGGGGACCAGGGAGCTGGAAAGGTGGTGGGAGAGGGGACAGGCCCAGGTGAAAGGCCTGTGTGAGTAGTGGATCTGGGGCCGGGACAGCTCTGCTGGCCATCGGCAGCCCCCAGGCCTAGGCCTCAGCCTCTGTGTGGGGCCACAGCCCAAGGCATCACTGGTGTGGTGGCTGAGGACTGTCTTCCACGATGCCCGTGTTCTAATGCCCCGACCCCATGAATGTGGGCCTCACCAAGTGAGCAGACTTCGCAGACATGACTCAGGTCAGGCTGGTGGTAGGAGGTGAGCCTGGAGGGTGCCGTGGGCCCCCGTGCAATCAGAGTCAAAGGCAGGAGAAGGGAACAGAGGCTGAGTGACACAGGGCTGCCTCTAGATGGGACACAGCCTGCCAGCACCCAGGGCTGGAGGAGGGTCAGCGGGGCTTGCTCTAAGCCGCTCTCACCATAAACCAGGGTGACCTGGTTGCCCCACTGAAGAAGTGTGCCTTGGGGAGCCAAGGCTCGGAGGATGTGGCAGAGGTGGCCTGGCATTGGGCACCCCTCCCTGGCTGCAGGAGGGCTGGGGCAGTCCAAATGGCTGATAGGGGGCCCCTGGCTTCTCAGCCAGCACCTGTGTGGATTGGCACTGTCACATGGGGCACGAGTCGAGGGGTAGGCCCCCAGACTGGTGAAGCAGGAAGTCTCTGGGGTTTACTTGGTTCATCTGCTGGGAGAGGCTGGCCAGAGTGGGTGGGTCCTTGTTAAAGTCAAGGGAGTAAAGGCCATGACTCCACGGGCCTGGAGAAGGGCCGCCTGGTCCTCTCAGGCTCCTCCTTGGGCACCCCTGAGCCCAGGTCTCTGAACAAAAGTGGGCTGCTTGTCCTCTGCAGCCACAGGAGGAAGGGCCAGCCCAGCCTCACGCAGTGCTGCTCTGCCCCAAGCCCCGCACCTACCCTGTTTCTCCCGGCATCACCCGAGCATCATGCCTGGTGGGGAGGGTCCTTCATCTCGAGCAGCCAGGTGCCCCACTCCTCTGCCATCCTCAGCTTTGAGCTGCAGCATGCCTGGCAGCAGGAGCAGCAGGGTGCATAGGCTGCAGCTCCAGGGCTCACTGCCACCCTGCCTCCCAGGCCAGCTGCAGGACTACTGAGCACAGGGTGGGGGAATCAAAGAAGCCAGCCCCTGAACTGGAGGCTGCAGCTTCCCACCAAGCCCCACTTCCTGAGCCGTGGCTGTGGGTGCAGAGGGCAAGTGTGGGGACAATGCCCAAGCCCAAAGCAGTCCCACAGCTCTGGGCAGCGAGGTGGTTAGAGGTGTGGTTGGGTGGGCGATGCCCCTGCCTGCTCACAGCAGTCCTGGGACCCGACCAGCGACCAGCGGGCGGGACAGGACTGAGGGGATGGGTGTGTCCCAGGTGCCCCAGCTCCCCACAGCCCTCTGGCCTGGGTCTGGATGGGCGGGGACAATGGCACAGCTATTTTTGCTTCTGCGGCTGCAGCTGCCGCAGGACACATCAATCCGGGAGGCTCTGGGCGCCCCTCCTGCCTGCAGACTCGGGCAGCGCCAGACGGTGGGTGGCCGGAGCTAGGGCCCAGGGAGTTGCAGATGCAGCCACTGCCTTGGTCCCCCAGACCCTACTACCAGACTAGGGAAGGCTGTGGGCGCCCCTCGGGCCAGGGCCCAGTGTCACTGCCATGGTGGCCCAGGGAGGAGGTGTACACGGGTCAGAGCAGCCCGTAGGCTGACAGGCTGGGATGCTGTGAGTTGGGTGTGTCCCCATGACACTACGTGCAGGCCTCCTCCAAGCCTAACCCAGATGCTGTGGCCCTCCCCAGCGTGACATCTGTCTCCAGAGGGTTCCACGGGAAAGAGCTGGAGGCCGGCAGATGGCCAGGGCTCAGCCAGCGAAAGGGGGCTGGAGGCAGCAGGCGTACCCCACCCCCGCTGTGATGGGGCTAGGTTCTTTCTTCTGAGGGCCCATCACGGGTGAGCGGGTGAGTGGATGGCTCTGCCCAGACCCTGGGGCGGCCCTCAGTTTGCCCTGACAGCCACACCGAGCTACAGCTCCACCACGGGACTGGGGGTGGGGGTGGGGGAGCAGAGTACTGCTGAGGGGCACTAGCCTCTGCTGGAACAGGCAAGGGAGGGGCCGCCCTGGGGCAGAGGGCCCTGCCCAGCCCTCAGCCTAGGTCAGCTCCCTGGCTGCAGGCCAGCCGGCTCCAGGGCTGTGAGCTCTCAGCCCTTCACCTCGGCCAAGGGTGCAGTGGGCCCCAGGGAGCAGGGGCCACAGCAGGCAAAACCCTGGGCACACGGAGGCCAGGTTCTGGGGCCAGGGTGGGCAGGCCAGCGACAGCCTAGAGGCCCTGGTGCCCCAGCCTCCCAAGCACGGTGTCCCCACACTCACTCTCACTGCTTCGCCCTCTGCGGCCAGGCCCTTCTCTGCCCGCCAAGACAGCTGGGTGCTGCCCTACTGTGCTGGAGGGAACCAGGCTGGGAGCAGTAGGAGCCCCCACCTCCCTCAGGGCCCCATCCTCCGCCCGGCACAGCCCCACGTGGGGCACACCAGTCCTGCTATGTCACCGGGAGTGAGGCTGCTGCATCTATCGTTAGATCGGCCCCTGGCACTGTGACCTGGCCAAGGTCACACACCTAATGGAGTGGGGAACACAGACACTCAGCCCCGAGAAAAAGACAGCACAGGAGGGTGAGCCCTGTGCCCCAGCACCCCAGTCTGAAAGAGGGCTGGGCCCCCTCCTGCAGTGGGAGAAGGCTGCCAGAGCCTCTTCCCGGCAGACTCCGGGGGACATCTGCCCCGCCCCGTGGCTGGAAGGCCGCCAGGCTGCAGTCTGGTAACGGGAACCGAGGGTGACTCATCCGACCCGTCACTCACCTGAGCGCTGAAGGAGCCCACCATGAGTGTATGTGCACCTGTGTGTGCTGTGCATGCATGTGCACATATGCGGGAGTCCACCATGAGTGTGTGCACCTGTGCGTGCTGTGCATGCATGTGCACACATGCGGGAGCCCACCATGAGTGTGTGCACCTGTGCATGCTGTGCACGCATGTGGGCCTGCACGGTGCAGCGTGAGTGGCAGCTGCCATGGAGTGAGTGTGCCTGTGCCCGAGTGTATCGGGACATATCCGGGGTGTTGGTGCATGGTGTCACTGCCACAGTGGCCTAGGGAGGAGGTGAAGCTGGTGAGCCTGCGTGGCCCTCTGCTGCAGCCTGACCTCCTCCCATGCCAGAAGGCGTGTGTGCAGACCCGACACCACCAGAACACTACCAGGACTAGGCCTCCCTGGTGGTGGCTGTCCTCTCCTGGGTGTGCCCCAGCAAGATTCCACTCCTGTCCCCCACAATGCCCACCCGAGGTCAGCCAGCTCTGCCTCTACGAATCAGCATCCTTGCGCCCCTTCCCTCTCTGCCACTCCCCAGAGGTGGACGCAGGTGCCCAAGCGAGAGCCCGGGGAGGCGCCAACCCTCCCCTCTCCAGGCCTCACCAAGCCCCCTCCGGAGGGTCCCAGGACCCATCCTCTTCCTCCCCCACTGCTGTCCCGGTGCAGCTGCTCTGGCATCCACAGTGCCCCCACCTCCAGCCCCTCATGGCCTCACCTCAGCTCCCACTGACCTCACAAACTGTGTGGAGCTCTAGGGGTACCTCCTGCTCACAGAACCCCTCTGTAGCCTTGCCTCCCCCCACCCCCACGGCTATGTTGAGCCCAGCTCTGCCTCTACCCTCTGCACACACACTGCCCCTTCTCCAACCAG